GGTTCATCATGCCTCTCTCTGGGATGGGAAATGTTCATAGCACCCTCTAGGATTAATGAGGAAAGTGAGCATAAGGGAACACAAGCCTAGGAAACTGGGCAACAGACAAAATCCTAGTGGTGTTTACCAGGTACCTGGCAGCTGTGCTACTGCAGGGCAGTGGCTCTGGGCTATTCTGGCTGCGGGTTCAGGCAAGAGCCCCGGACCCAGGTGCTGTCCCTGCCTTCTTCCTTTGTAGTTAAGCCCCTGGTTTGTCATTTGAAAACAACAAATGTTAGAGTTCAAGCAAACAGAACATTCGAAGTCAGTTGCTATAATCCCTTCAATTTACAGCTGAAAAAAACGGAGGTCAGCTCTGGAAACCAATAAGCATTTCAGGTAAGAGAGAAAGAAACTAGAGGATCTGTGAAGATTTCTGCCGTTTCAGAAAGGAAGGCTCTTCTGTTTAGTTTTGACTTTTCTCTCTTTCCAAACATCCTGTGGTATGATTCCATCAGTCCAAAACATAGTCCCTGCTCACTTTTTCTGCTCCAGATGCCTCATGGTTCTCAACTACCTAACAACAACAGTAGTTTCCGGTCAGGTCACCTTGAGATTCCCTAAGCAATCATTTTCTTCAAATTGTATCCTCATTTATTTCAGGCTATGGAAGAGCCAGCCATCCATTCACTCTTGTGAACTGGAAAAATCCATTCGCTCTGTAATATTGCTCCATTTATAACAAGAGCAAGCATGTATTGGGCCGCCCTGTTCCAAGAGCTTCACAGACGTAGAACTCAGCCCTCAAAACAACCCCATGAGAGAAGACTATCATACCATAGAGAGGAGGAAACCAAGGGACAAAAAGTTCCCCTGCTTGTGGACGTGCCCACAACCAGTATTACTAAGGTGTCAAGAAGTTCCACAATGACTAGTTTCTCGATGACCTCTTTCTGTCTCTTTAGGGCCCCAACCCTTTCATTTTAAGTCAAAAGTCACAAGTCGACCACATGGGTCACACAGTTCTCAAAGTCCTGTACTGTGCCAGGCTCCCAGGTGTGAAGCTCGGGCTACTCAGGAGGAGGCTGTGAGCCTCCCACTTACCAGCTGCTACGGCGGTCGCTTCTCAGTGCTCCTAGTGCCAACTCCCTTACCCCAACTCCTCATCCTACTTGGTTATTTTTAATCCATTGTGATAGGAAATCAAACTACTCAGCAATGACCTTGTGAATTAAAAACAAAAGCCATGCACACACATACCACATATCTATTAGCTTCATCTCTTTCTGGCTTTTAGGCCCCTCTTTTATTTTTATGTTTTTAGTTTGCTGTAGGGCAATGTGGACTTGCTGGAGAGAAGCAGAGAGGGTGGGGGAAGTGAGCAAGCACCCCCAAGGTGGGGATGGCCACACCACAATCCCTTCTCCTCCATTCTCCTCTCAGGATTTAGGGCACACGCACATACACCCAGCATGTTTTTCAAGCTGCCAGGCCCAGGACCTGAACCATGTAGTTGGCCATGTGGGATCTAATTACCCCAAATACCAAGCCACTAGCTGGCTCCTAATTCTCTCTTTTAAAAATAAATTAGAGAGGCTGACAGATGGCGTGGTGGTTAGGGGTGCTGGACTATCACATGACTGACCAAGGTTTGAGTCCCGGACCTGGTGGCTTGCTTTCACACTTTCTCTGTCTTTCTTGTCAAATTAAAATAAATAAATAAAGTCAAATAAAATGATTCTTTAAAAAGAAATTTTAAAAAAAATTAGAGGGGATCAGCAGATGGCATAATGGTTACGTTGCTGGACTTCCATGTAGTGGACTGCAGTTAGAGTCCTGGACCCTTAAAACATGCAGAGCGTGTATGCGTGGGTGCCCAAAATCCCAAGAGGAGACTGGAGAAGAAAAGATTGCAGTGTGCTCATCCCCCTGGGGGGCAATTTCTCTCTGTCTGTTTCTCTGGCAAGTGCACACTCCCTATAGCAAAAATCTCTCTCTTAAAAAAAAATAGAGGGCCAGCCCTGTAGCACAGTGGTTAAAGCTTGTGCATAAGGAGCCAGATCTCTCATGGCTGACTGTAGTTTGAATCTGGGACCCAGTGACTTGAGAAATACATCTAGTACATGTGCCTGCATGCTTCAAATCCTAATGGGTTGGAGAAATGAAGGAAAAAGATTGTGGAGTGACTACACCCCATTAGGGGATGTTCTCTCTCTCTGATGAACACGTCCTCTGGAAAAAAAAAAACTTAGAAATCATGGCAGAGACCCCGAGGCAGCATCCTCACACCAGGAAAGGGCATGGACAAGGCCTTGGTGGCAGCTATGCTAACTCAATACTTTCCCATTTTTTCAGGTGTGTAAGCTCTGGGCAGGTTACCAGGCTAGGGCCTGCTAGACAACAGAGGAGCTTACTGGCAGTCTCATTTCATTCATGTGCCCACAGGCAGAAAGGACTGAGTCCCGCCTTTGCCAAAGAACATGTCCAGAGTCACATGAAACTGCCATCTGAGAGAGTTCATTGAAGAAAGCAAAGTTTTTAATTTAATATTTTGAAATTTGACTCGGAGACTCTCCAGACCATGAAAGCATTTCCAAGTGGCTTATGACTCAGTTTCTTCTCCAGCAACTCAGCATAAAGCCAGCACGGAGCAGGTGCACACGCACTTCCCTTCAGCCTCGGCCCCTGATCGGAGGAGGTGGGCATCTGTCCTAACCCAACCTTATGCTTACCTGGCTCCTCTTTTGGCCCAGAGCAAATATTTCAGAGATGGTCACGTCAGATCAGGAACGTGACATTATTACTATGACGTGTTGAATTGGGAGAAGAGGAAGCAGGGGAAATAGAATCTTGAACTGTGAGATGAGAACACCAATAGTTCTTCTAATCTCTCTTTTGAAAAGCCATCCTGTAACCCTTAGCAAGTCACTTAATCCTTCTATAGCTCAGTTTCTTCCGTCATAACATAGGCTCATACCTCCCTTTATCCACGAGCTGCTGGATTACAGGAAGTTGACCGTTGGAAGTATTATGGAACACTGCTCCCTCCCGACAAGCCAGGACAATGCTGCTCTTAGCCCTTGGACGCAGCCCAAGTCATTGAAAAGTTGTACCTGCACATGCCGACTGCTAAGCCACTATGCTGGGTCACCACTCATTGCAGAAGCAGGAGCTCAAAGAGCTTGGATCTCAAACTACCATCAGGAAACAAGACATCCCTTCTGGGGTTGGTTGTGGGGAGATAAACTTAGCCCATCACTTTTTTTTTTTTTTAAGAGATTTTTTTGCTATAAGGGCACGTGTGCTAACCAGAGAGACATAGAAAGAGAAAAGTGAGAAATCACTCCCCAGGGTGTAGTCCTACATTCCTACATTCTCCTCTCAGGATTCAGGGCACCCACACACATGCACTTGGCATGTTTCAAGTCACTGGGTCCAGGACTCAAACTGCAGTCAGCCATGTGGGAGTCGAGCAATGTAACGATTACACCATCTGCTGATCCCCCGTCACCTCAGTTCTTCCCTTACCCCTCTTCTGGAGACAAAAGAACATGATTGGGACTCCCTATGGTATACCATCAGCAGAGCAGAACTGAATTTCCAGGAGCAGATCTCGGCAAAAACAATCCTTTAACCCCACAATGGCCGTCCCTCCCTGCTCCCAAAGGTATTATAGAGGCCAAAGGTGCTCTCTCAACCTTGGTAGACTTTTCTTCAGCATTCACTTAAAAGTTACCCCAAACTTTAACTATCGCTAAAGACTCCAAACATTGACCTACCAGACACAAAACAAAGACCATGATCCCATCAGCCACAATAGGACATATCCTGCCCTTTTTGCAAGAATTTTTGTCCCCCTCAACTGGTAATTTTTTTTTTTCCTGCAGACATCTTATATTTTTTTGCTTGTTGTTCAAAAGGAACAAGCTCTCTCTTAAGTGTCAGACACTCATCACATTTTCCAGAGGGAGAAATGGAAGCGGCGGAAAGGCAAGTCATTTTGCCCAGCATAAGCTGTTTTTCACAGCCAAAGCAGTGGGGAGCTTGCCTCAGTGATTCACGATGACACATACCCCCAAGACTTGGAATCCAGAATGATCAGAAAGCAGGAGGGGAGGCGGCTGGACTCCTCACTTAACTGAACCTGGTGAAGGAAGTAAATGTTTCCAGGCTGTAGTTTTCTCATTCCAGAACTTTGGACTAATGCAGAAACCAAGACAGGCAGAGGTTTTGGAAAACTCACGGAAACTACACTCCAGCATCTCAAGGGATTAAAAAGTAACCTCTATAATTCACAAACAGCAGGGAAAGCTCAGTGAAGATGTGTTTCTCTCCCAGCCTTCCAGAGCTCTCAGCTTCCCAAAGAAAGCCCTTTGAAACTCACAGTACTCCGCAGTGGATTTGCCTGTGGTGGACAGCAACCTGTCCTTAGGCCCCAGCAGAGACATGTTTCTGGGCAAAGGGCCCCATAACTAACTCCAGTCCTATAACCTTGGGGTCCACTGACAACTCCTGAAACTTGCCAACTTCCTTTGCAGCCCAGGGCTGAAACAGAGAAGACATATGTTATAAGCAAGATGCCCCAATAGGCAAAATTTAACTAATGCTCCAGAAGCTTTTGGGAACCACGAGGAGGAAATGGGGTGAAGATATCAGAGTGCTATAGAAACCTTTTTTACTGGTGAGATAGCCTAAGCTTGTAAGAGGTTCAGC